TGATTCAGAAAAGTAAAAGACGTATGTATATATTTTTAAGAAGTAGGCCCACAACTTGCCACAATGTTTTTTTATAGTGTGCAAATACGTACGAACTGTTGCGTAACAAGGGTGGGCAGCCAGCACACGTGCTCTAAGCATGCACTTTTAGGGGAGGGGAGCATTTTTGTTCGTAAAAAGATATAAATATATTTTTTATTTTATTCGAAACTGGAAAATTGCTCATTGCTGTACTATTTTACGGCAAGATTTTTTATTATAGGATGATTCCTTTGAGCGTCGTATAATAATTTTTTCTTGACTCCACTGTCACCACTGTCTGTTCACTACGTAACTGTTACCCACGAAGAACCAAGGAGCCTTGCAATATATTAAAATTTGATTTAGTGTTGGCCAATTTGTCATAGATCTCGTTTGTCAACGCATACAACTCTTATACTTCTGGCACAAACCATGGTTTTCATCTAGCTAAGAAACAAACGACTATCCACAAGCCACATAGCAAAGGTTCTATGACAAAATATGAGTTAGCTTTCAGTACTTACAAAACATACACTCATAAATTGATTCTTTATTTAGAATTATATACATTATTTGCAATTAAACAATCTATTAAATAGCTGTACGACAACACTTTCCATTCATTTCGTGAATTGGAGAAGTTATTTTTCTGTGAGAGTTTTTTCCCCTCTTTCATTTCGGCACTTACAAAATTCCCTCTATATTCTTTCACATATCTATCTTTTGATTTTAATGGAAATGTAAAAAGTTGCGGCACTTCTTCTAATAGCATGTCATGTTCTAATAGCATGTGAGTTCCATTATTTCCAAATGATCTTCCATTTAAGATCCATTACATTGATAGAACCTGACATTCTCGTTGCAAGCAATGAAAACACAAGAACAACAATCAACAAGTATGTGATCATGCTATCAGGAAAAAAAAATTCAGTGATAAACGACATTTTATGTTACAGAAAAACATGCATTAACAAGGGTCGCGAACAAAATATTGTGCATCACTCGGCAGAAGTCCCTTTTCATGTCTCGACAGGATTCCCTACCTCGACCTGCCGGCCTCTGCGGGCAAAACTTCTTGTCCGCCCGTCTGTGGACGACAACACTGCAGCCTATTTTTTCTCCGAAATTGACATTACCGAACCCATCTGGCCTAACTCGAGGCCCGTGGAAACGGATGTTCTAATGTGCTTTACAAAAAGTCTCAACAAAAGTTTAGCTCAGTCCATCTCTGACTGCAGTGGTTCTGACCGGAAGGCCCTGGGGTTCGAGCCCTTGAATAACTAAGTCGAATTCGCTGTCTGGAGGAGACTTCTAGCAGCCGACTACTCTGATCTGTAGTTTTCCGTGATTTTGCCGATCAACACCAGTCGAATACCGGGCGGGAGTAGTATCCTAACAAACGGGCTACGGACCGCGCGCGATCTTTCCTTCGTCTTCCTTGTTCTTTTCTTGTCCTTCAAATACTTCCACTTCCCTTCCACTTCTTGTCCTTCTCTTCCTTGTCCTTACAATACTTGCACTTACATGTCATACACTATCACACATACCGGGAGACGAGTCGGGTGCGTATAGCTGGTCCCAGCTAGCACGGCGCCCTGCTGGGGGATATACCCGAAGGGTGAAATACCCCGCAAGCCGATGTGAGTGTAGGCGTCAGTAATCACGCCCACTGAACATTCCAGTTGAACGGTCTGCTAATATCCTGAATTCGGTTAATTAAATATTTGCTGACCTCCCGGCTGACGTTTGATGTAACATGTTACATAAGGAGTATCTTAAAATCTGTCTGATCAATCAAGTATTTTATAAATATTGCCTGTAGTACAACGCGTAGGCTAGCATGTGATGTCAGTCTGAAGATCATTAGCGCAACATTTTGATACATCTGCTATAAAGATTTTTAAGTGCTGGAGATGATAAGAACCTCTTCAAAAGATACCAAAAATAAAAAAAAATTAAAGAATGTGTTACATTATGTATTACGATTAAATGTATCTATGTAATATGATAACAAACCCGAGACTCTGTTAAGAGGATGTTATTGGAGTAAGTGCCGAATTCTTAAGAATATTTCAGAATTCGTGAGTTATGTTAATTACGTACATCCAATTGTATTACATTACCTCATAAAGATATCTTATGGGCAACTTCTCACGTTTTGAGTTCCTTTTACAACGACTGGGTGAAGGTTCCATTCCTTTCCCTTCTCTTCCATAGTCTCTTTCAGAGGCCAACTCTACTGACTTTGTGGCAATTCCCTACTCCTCTTTCCTCGGGTTGTGCGCGAGAGGAAAATTGGAAGGGAAAATGTTCAATTATTTAAATTTAGAGCAGTGTAACTTTATCTATCACTATCAAACTTTATGTGTTAAGATTATAATCCATCACTATAAGAAAATTAGTTCCATTTGGATAGTTTGGTGTTCCCGAATACATCGCGTGTTGGAAATACAGCACATGGTTGAGATCAGTACAAAAATGGAGAATACGAAGTCTACAGAAGATACAATTTAATTTTCTGAAGGTCATGAAAATTGGGTCAAAGTATGTGGTTGTGCACTCGTACGTCGGTGTTGGAGAAATCGCCCCGAGTCAAGAGGTCGTAGAAGACAACCTATGAACTCCACGATCACGAGATTGGGAAGCAAGAGTTCAGTGCTGAGGCAGCAGGGGCGCGAGATTCTAAGGAGTGGCCGACACAAGTCAGATTATTCGTGATATCAACGATTAAGAAGAGACTCGTCTCAAAATATAGACAACCTGGGGAAAACTTATTTTGAATAATTCACTAGTCAGGGCATTTAATACCAAGATCACAGGATTCGGAGTATTAAAATAAGGCAAATACTGAATTCATATCATTTTACCATATTACTGCCATTAAGTATCCAAAATGGAAAATAATTTGAGGAAATTAGAGTTAAATGTGTCAGAGTGTAATAACTAGAAAGTTATATTCTTGATCGTTGCACTAAGGTATCGATCGTTTGTGCAATAATGATTTGCAACAGATAATATTCATCTTTATTTTCACACTGAAAAGTGTTTATCTCAAGATAATTGATTTTAACATTATATTCTGAGAGTCATTCAGCATGCAGGGCGATTATAATGCAGGTTCTGTGTAATGTAATTACACCACTGAGAGAGCGAATTTCGAACATTTTTATCAATTTTTATTGTTTTACTTTCTCGCACTTACTAATGTAAGAAGAGTTGTGCGCCAGAAAACGACGAATTATTTTGAGTTAAGTTACATATTTGCTGTTACAACGAATTATACTCATTTTGAAGGAATGTTGTTTAAAAGAAAATTTTGAACATCTCTAAAAAAAATGAAACTGACTATTTCTATTAAATCTTATACGGAAACAAAAAAATAATTATATTACTCTCTCAGGATAACTGCATGTTGAAACTTTTCATAACTAATTCTTGAACGTCGAAAAATTAAAAATCTGCAAATGTATAGTTAATACAGTTTTGAATATTTGCAATATACTTCGTTTCTTACGTGTCCTAGATGCTAGTTAGTGTTATCGCAAATGACCTGGTAATAAGCCAAAGACAAATAGAACATGAGAGAATAGAAGTTTGAGATAAATAAAGGATCTAAGCTGAGCAATATGTGTACAGCGTTTCATCAGTAGCACAAAAGCAGTAAAACAAAATATATTGTCACGTGGGTGACGTTACATTAGAGAATGTTACCTCATCCTGTTTTGGCAGAGCACCATCTGCGAAGTTGAACCGAACGGCCTTGGCGTCTCGTGAGAATTTCGTGACACTGAGACAGAGCACTGTCAAGGGCTTCTGTAGTGCAATACCCTGGCCGCTCTGCTTTCGATTTGATTTTGTTAGGGAATGCGGGCGCATTAACTGCTAAGGTCATTAGTTCCGTAAGTGTAGTGCATTTTTTCTCGGGAAGTGGTGGTGAACTCCCCCTCTTGATTGTGAGATTCTTCGCCGACCTACCATTGGCAAGCGGGGTTTTCCCCAACCAGTGGGGCACCGCCCTAGTTGGGATAAGTTCTGTAAGCACCCGACCGGTCTCCCGGCACTACCGGTCCCGGTAGTGCGTTAGTGTAAGTAAGGGGTGAGGATAGGACAGAATAGGAAGGAAAGATCGAGTGCGGTCCATGGCCCGCTTGTTGTAGTACTGCTCTGGCATTCGCCTCACAGTAATGGGGGAAACGCCTGAAAACTACCGACCAGAGCAGCCGGGCGCTAGAATTCTCCTCCTGACAGCGACTGAACTCGTCCTAGCTATCTAGCTCGAACCTAGGACCTCCCGGTTAGAGGCACTGCAGTGACATCAGTTGATGCCCTGAGCCACCTCTCCCGGTTCCTGTTTTCGAATGTATAGAGAGAGGCCTTTAATTTTACACTGGATTATGAATCAATAATGAAGGCAGAAAACCTGCTGAAAACAATAATTCGTAAACAGAATATAAAATTAAATTATACCATAGCATATTTTTTTGTAGTAACTACGTTAATTCGCACTTGCACATGGACCAAGAAAATGTAAAAATATGACGGTTCCGAACGAATTTGGAAAAATAGTGAGTAAAGAGCGGATTGAAAAGCACTTAAAATCGTCCAAATATACGTACATTCTTGCACTTAAAATCAGTGAAATACACACAAAAGCTCCCAAAATATGCGCATAATTTATCAATAAATTACTTTAAGTATAGCTTTTTAAAATAATTTTATGAACTTCCTAATCGGTCCGTCGCATCCCGTCCCGGCATAATGTGTGCGACCCACACAAAACTACCGTCCGTGCCGCGCTGACCCTGCGCACGTTCAGTTTTAGAGGGAAGCACGATTACCGTGGTAACATCAAATTACTTTACCAACCGCCAATCGGATATCGCGAAGGGGAAAGCGGGGAGTTCTGCAGGGGAAATGAACCGAATATTAATCTCGCCACCGGCGGCAACGGAGTTTCGCACCATCTTAGCTGCGTGTAGAGGCGACTGCTGGCAACCGACGTGCTCTGGCGACTGGTCTGACTGGCCCGGAGGCTCTTCAAAGATACGTTGTATGGTTCTACCAAGGCCACTTCCTCCGTCTGCAGTTTGGGGTGCGATCAGTGGCCTCGCGTAGCTGCAAAGATCGCCTGTAATGGATGCTTTTGTGGGTAAGCTGGGATCCAATTAAACCTCCTTCTTCGGCTGTAATTACGGCCAGAAGTACTGAGACGGTCGATTGAGAACAGTATATTTGTATTGTAAACTTCTACTATTCGGAACAATATGCATCTCACAAACTCATTTCTGCTGACTCTATTTCATTTTGCAGATTCAGCTTTAGGCCCCTTGCTTTATGCTTTACAAATCAAACGTATGCGAAATGTACGTAATATTTTCTTTAAGTTCTTATATAGCCTCAGAAAATTTATCTCTTTTCTGCCTTATTGACAAGATCGGGTTGGCTGGATACATACCAGAGGATGTGTTTTCATGTCACAAAACGTGTTGTTCAAATGTTGAAGACTGGTAAATCACCTTATTTATGTAATATTGGTATTGTGTATTGTTGTATGTGGTGAGTTTTCATTGGCATTTACAATGTTATTTGTGTAAACGTATTTTTCCTTTCTTTAACGATAGCGACACAAATTGGTCATCAATGTAATGATTCATTATCAAAATGAATAATTAGGAAGAAACCCTACACATGTTCAAAGTGAAAACCTGCCTATGCTTTTAAATAGAATCGAAAGAGCAGAACGTGTGGTTATGGAATCAGTTCTGTGGCCCACTTTCTCTCCCGTGTATCTTGGCCCTAGTTCCTCGTCTGAGACCTTTGCTAAAGGTTAAACATTAAGCAGTCTTGTTTACTTATGTTGAAACTCTAGTTTTGGATTTAGGATTTAAACTATAATAGTATTTTACTTCATCAAAAAGTACCTACGAAGTTTCAGTGATGTTCCTAATTCATTTCCTGGACCATAAATGCTTACCTTTTCAGAGCTCAGACTCAGGATTTTCCGATTTTAATGATTGTAATATCGATGATGGAAACTCATTTTAGACAATATACGTATCAAGTAATCCACCGAAGATTTTGCTGTTTTATTTTAGCAAGATAATGCTCAGATTATAGGGAAGGAATTTCCCTGCATATACTTGATGGCAGGACATTTATAAATGCTTAAGACTGTCATCTAAATTCAGCAGTCAATGACCTAGAAAAGCACCTGAGCAAACTTCTACAATGGACCGCTTCATGGCACAACGCCATCCAGCGGGAAGTAGAAGTCTTGTCACATCGGCTCAGTTCAGTTACATTATCAGAACAAATCAATCTATCGATTGCTACTCATACCCTCCGAGAAATATCTAAGCTACTATCTTGACAGGAGGTTGACCCTGAGAGATAATGTCCATAAATGTAATCCTCCGAAACAGACCACTGGTTTTATCCTTAAACCTGCGCATTAATACCATGAATTATACGAATAATTCATGAATAATAATACGAATGATTCATAGAGAATTAATTACTTAACAAGAACAATGGACGTAGGGAGCCCAGAAATGTTTACTCTCAACAGAAAACCATTCGCCTCGATTGTGCTCATTTTATCTGACTACAGAAGTGATATACTACGGTCTATCACTTCTCTTTTTCATTTTTCCTTGAGCTGCGATCAGTTGCAATCTGTTGGCCAGAAAAAACGTCCTCGTGATTAATGCGAAATGCGATGTATTTAATAAAAAAGTAATGTCTGTTTACTTAAGTGAGTATTTCAGTTCGTCAGGGAATGGGTTAACATAATTGCATTCATTTTAACTTCATATTAATGACGTTTTGAGTGCATATTTGTCATATTTTGACATTTTGGACTACATAAAAATCTAATCCCTAGTTATCACATACCTTCGTAATGCTATGATATATTGGTCGATGCAATGATGAAATGCCTTTGCTTATGTTACATTTGGGAGCGAACTTTTGAATTTGCATTTATATACTACGTGTATTGTGATAGTTGCAATAGACGCATAACACTATTAAAGTGGAATGAGGAGAAATGCGTGGGTGTGAATATTGCATATCACCTTCTATAAACTGATTAATTAACTCTGTCCAGATGTTCATTTATCACATCTATAAAAAGTTCCACCCTACCCTTTCGCCAGTCCTGCTCGTTTTGCCAGTCGCCGGCAACATTTTGATAGAATCGGTCCAGAAATTAAAAAGATTTTTAAAATACATATTCATTCACACGTTACATAAGCACGCGCAGGTTCATTTTTATTTCATAGATACTCTATAGTTAATATACACATCCCTTATGATAACTTAATAATGCGCCGGCTCATTGTTAATGGAGAAATGCGTTAATTTATTTCAGGAACTTAAATGTCTGCAATTGGAGAGATATCTCGGCTACAAGAATGGTCAAGAAGACTTTAGATTGATATTGCCTGGAACGAACTTGAGAAATCGTTCTATCACAAATTCTGACACTGTTAGGTTCTTATCGTCTCTACATATCAAGAGAAATGATGTTTTATTTGTATTACTCGAAATTATTCCTTATGGTCGTGATGTCACAGAGTAAGAATTCCTCCTAAATTATAATTATTCTCTAGGCCAATTGAAGTTGTACGGTGTCAGCGATTCTGTTTTACATCGGCATATGTTCTGTTTATTGAAACTAAATTCTGCTTTTAATCTGATAGTGTTATTTCAAGAAAAATGTTATGTTCTGCCTTAAGAGGCATTTTGCACTGCCTTATAGATTGCTGTGGTGCAAATGTAAAGCTCCAGATATAAATAAACACTGCCGCCAAACATTCGATGGCTCATAAAATTTATTGAAATATGAAAAATTTCAAATAATATTTTTATAGGAAGAATATTTAAGAATATTCTACAAAAAATATGAAGACCAATTTAAATACATTCTATCTGCATGGAAAAGATAATACGTAAAACCTTGCCTCAGTTTTTACACTTATCCAATTTATCTTCTTATGTTTGCGAATTAGTCACATTACCAGAAGAAGAGTAATTTTTCTTTACTGTGTAAGAAGAGAAAGTATGATAATTATCGGGCTCTGGTAACGCCAAAGTGGATATACCTTTTTCCTATATGTAGTAAATTACTTCCTCTAACCGTCGCTATACTGGACTAGATATGAGAACTGAATCTAGCTATCTAGTTAGATAGAAAATTTTGCCACCGTCGGGATTCGAACGTTGAACCCCTGGTTCAGGTACCAGTGTTGTTCACATACACCAGACAAACGCACGGAAGTACGGACAGACAGATAGACAAAAAAGAACTTTTTCTGTATCAGGGGACCCCGTAACATGTGTTTTCGTTCATATAAGGGCTTGTAAGAAGAAATGGTGCCGTTGGTGATGTGTACGCTTGGAAGGAGCTGGGATCCCAAGGGTGAGCCGTTGAGGCGCAAACAATCGATCCCATATCGAAAATGCGTTTTTGAAAGTCAATAGTCCTCTAAAACCTGGCCTTTTTCATCACGACACTTCAATTGAGAACTAATATTTCTGTCAATATCGCTGCTCTTGGTAGGGGAAGGCCCAGAGAGAATGTATACTGCAGGAAGTGCAACGCAGCGATAGAAACCATGAACCACATCCTGGGCCAATGCACTTTTACTAAGCCAGCAAGAGTAAAGCGTCATGACAAGATCAAGAACTTACTAGTAGGGATGCGACATCAATGTAGATGTTTTCAAAACACCGACAGTTTTGTAGAAACATCGATGTATTAACACCGATGGTTTTTAACATCGATGTTTTGTGACAGAAGTTTTTTTCTTTTCCGATTTTTGGTTTTTGAATGAAAAATTATCATGATCACAATACTATAAGAGTTAAAACATGAAATAATACCTGATAGTAACATTGATATTCGTATGTTGGAACCAAAGGAACGCTGTTTACACTTCCATCGTCGACAGAACTCTCTCGTCCGAGATCACATCCATGCCCTTGTATTTTCTCTTCCTTCATATTTGTTACGCACATTCAGATAAGGTCAACAAATACATCGTAGCCTTTACAATAAATGAATGTGGTCTTGTAAGTAATGAATGTGGTCTTGTAGAATTACTTATAATTAATTTCAGTCTGCTGAATCCGCCAACAAATTGTAACCATTCGTCTGGTGCAATTACGAGTATCAAAGTTCAGTAGTCTGAATTAATTATCCTTAGAGTATAGTACGCAACATCGCCATTAATTACATTATATCCTGCAATATATTAAAAATTCAGAAAAAGTTAGTGAAGAAATGCTCATAGAAAACAAACAAGTGTCACACTTCTTGATAAAGAACATAAAAAATATATTAACGGACTATTCAATATCTTAAGATAATAATTTATTTCACGTACTTTCTCTTCTTTATATGAGAGTATATTTTTATGGAAATAAACAATTATAATAAGAAGAAAGTTTAAAAATTATAAAAAAAAATGTTTCATTTTATATTGTCTTCTAAATATTTTATCTGAGACTATCTACAAGTTATTTTTTTAATATTATTGAATTATTTTCAAAGGAATCACAAAAAGAATATTTTAGATTTGAATAATCGAAACTTGAACCCTTGAGTGGATACCAAAAATTCTCAGAATCCTATAGTTTAGCAGTTCTTTCTTCCCCTAGTTCTACTTTAAGCTTAGAGGTATTTTACGTTTATGTTGTTTTATCGCAGAATGTACTCTTATATGTAACATGATTTTCCCATAGAAATTACAATTCAAACAAAATACAGTGTTGATTTCACTGAACGAAGAAGGGGTTTCAGGGAAAGGAAAGGAACTGATTAAATCTCAAGCAAAGTAGCAATGAACGCCTCTCAATTGGTGCTAGTCACACCTTTATGATTTAATTAACTCTTCATGCTTGACAGACCCTTATATCTTCACACTTAGTTATTTGCTTCACCTTCTCTGATAGATCTCAGATTTAAAAGTAATATCTAAAAAAGTAATATCTAAAAACGTCACTAAGCAATGACTGTGTTACTCGTATCTTGTAAAACAATTATTTCGGCACGCTGCATTTTTAGAAAATATTTAAGGAACCATATTTTGACGAAAATGTAGTCGGGAATTTTTATTTTTGTAACCATTCCGCCTCAAGAAATGTCTAGAGCAGCGTCTTAAGTTTTATTTCTAAATGCACGAAAAGTGATAATGAAATCCTGCCTCTTTCTTATTGAAAGTTTTCAGTTCTTTTTTTACAATGACAGAATGGAAGTATAATACGAAATTTAGAATTGCGTGTGTAGTGTTATTGAGACATAAAAATAATGTATATAACCTACACCATGAACCTTGTTATTTATTATTTTCTGGGAAAAGTCTTCGGCACAACTATTTGATATCTGTGGTGATTAATTTTGAATGATTTCATTTCCATTACTTTTTATTTGTCTGCTCTTGCTAACCCTTCAGTACATCTGAGTACGAATTGAAATTACGCAATAAAACAGTTATTACATATTTCTGTTGTAATTAAATTAGCAAACTCTGCCCGCTGTTAGAATGCAATGGTTCGTATTGTAATATAAAAGACTTGTTGCATGTAGTCACGCCATTCGGTAATAAAATTGGCTAAGAAAGCAATGATTCATTAATATGAATCACTGATTTCGTAGAGTAATATAACGAGTACTTACGAGTAGTATAAAATTCAATAGAATATCAGTCCAAAAAATGCAACTACTCTTTTAACACCCATTTTACGAATACAACGAATATTCAAGGGAAAATGGAGCAAAATAGTGGTATTAAAAAACAAGATACACGAATTGTTAAATTTGTTTTCTTTTTCCTTTTTTAAACTTCACATTCAGGTTTTGAGCATGTATTCCACCCTAGTATAGTTATTTACGTAAATTTCATTTCTGAGAGACTATGTCGTTTTAAGCAATTAACACACAAGACCAATCCTCAGAATTTCCACTCCAAAATTTCATTCTCTTTTCTTCAATTCTCCATTCTATACAGTTTCCACACAACAAATGATATTTCGAATTTAAATTCCGTTTCCGCAAACCTCCGTCGCTGTTAACCTGCAACGTGAATCTAAACCTTCCCGAGAGTTTATTGAAAACTGTTATTTTAAGCTTATCGATCCGTCTTTTCATGCCGAGCGCAAATAAGAGCGCAAAGTACGTAAGTGCGAAAATGTGGGCAGATACTCCATCGGGCGAAAATAACTGCGCGTGACGTGTGGCGGCGCCGCGTGCGCGGGGCCGCGTGCAGATTCCGCACAGTGGGCCTAAAGCCACGAAACACTGGTGCAAATTGAATCCCGATTCCTTGATTTAGAGATTTGTATTTCCGGGCGCGTCAACATGCCTGTTATCATTAGTCCAGTAAGAGTAGAACATGTTTTATCACAGGAAGCGCTAGTGATTTTTCCCACTCATTGGTGACTTCCGGCACCGACTTACACCTCGTCTTGCAATGTTTTTCTCAATAAGGTATTTCTCATTACCGGGGCACAGCCATAACCGGAGGAAACTTTAAGTTCCCGACATATGTGGTAGTGTAGTGTATATAAGTGTGTGTGTATGTATGTGTGAATGTGTATGTATGTGTGTGTATGTGTATGTGTGTGTATGTGTATGTGTGTGTATGTATGTGTGTATGTGTGTGTATGTGTATGTGTGTGTATGTGTATGTGTGTGTATGTGTGTATGTGTATGTATGTGTATGTGTGTGTATGTGTATGTGTGTATGTGTATGTGTGTATGTGTATGTCTGTATGCGTGTGTATGTGTATGCGTGTGTATGTGTATGCGTGTGTATGTGTATGCGTGTGTATGTGTATGCGTGTGCGTGTGTATGTGTGTATGTATGCATGTATGTAAGGGATAGGGCAAGGAAAAAGAAGTAAAGATCGCCTGCCGTCTGTGGCTCATTTATTACTTTTGCTTCGACATTCGCCTGGTGTTGATCGGAAAAACCTCGTCAAACTACCGATCAGAGCATCCGGACGCTAGAATTCTCCTGCAGGCAGCAGCTGAATTCGATCTAGCTATCTAGTGTCGAAACTCCGGACTCGAACCCTAGGATTTTCCGGTCAGAGGTACTGCAAACACATTACTCGCAGTTGGTGCCCTCAGCCACCTAAGGTGGTAAAGTAAGTTCCTTTTCTCAACATTAGACCCGATTTAAACGCTTCGTTCTGACGAACGATTCTGGAGTTTTAGTGAATGCGGAACCCCAAAAGCACAGTGCGCGTGCGCGCGGACATTGCAATTCGGAATTCGTTCGTCGAGAGGAAATGGATAAATCGGGACGTAGAGACCCGTAACGTAGCGGCTAGCGCTCAAATACTGAACTCACAGTAAATATAGTTTAAATACATAAAGTGAAACTTGACGAAACCGAGATCAGTTATGTAATAAACAGTATTAATAGCTGGAAGACCTAAGTGCAGGAATCGGTTTGCGGAAGTAATATGATTCTCTTATTAGCTGCACGCGAACGATCATTCTGCACTTTAAAGATTATTGTTATAAAAGTGAAAATTGCTTCGTACGGAAACCCAACTTCGAACGGTTATCTTTACGGACTTAGGTGACTCAGGGCATCAATTGATGCCATTGCAATGTCCCAGACCAGGAAGTCCTAGGGTTTGAAGTCGGGGCAGGAGTTATGAAACTAGCTACATACCTAGGTCGGCACCGGATCTCTCCATCGAGAGGGGGAAGATAACTGCCACCACCACCGCCAACCACCAGCGATAAAAACATGAACTACAATTACGGGACTAATGACATTTGCCGTTGAATCGTCGGGAATCACTTATTAATCAATCAATATCGCTGTATTCGTTTGTTGCTCTGAATTAATAT